CTGAGTCCCCGACCACAAACCCGGCACTGAGGGCTGCAGGTTCCTGTGCACACTCACACTGGAATCGTTTGCCTTTTGTTTCCTTTTGTGCCTTTAACACGTTTCTCCCCGTGGGCCTCCTGAATTTCACATTTATGGAGTGCAATGCATTTTACCAGGTGCTTCCACCGCAGTCTCTGTGGCAGGTCTTCAAATGTGATGTGCATGTGCCTGTTGAATAGATGAGGGACCTGAGGCTTGGAAAGGTTCAGTGTCTGGTTCAAGGGACTCAGCATCTGTCCACATCGTTTGGATCCTTAACCCCAAGCCTCTCTCCAACAGCGCTCCGGCCCTGCTGTCCACGAAGCAGGCAGGTGCTCTGAAGGCCACTCATGGAGATGGGTTACCTGGGCACCAGGAAACTGGGCTGTGTTTGGATGACTGGATCCAACAGTGAATTTAACACCAAGAGGAGGACAGGAAACATTGTTCTCGGTACAGATGCCGTATTCTGTTTACAGAATTCCTCGCATTTCTGTGCAGAATTGGACAAAGCAGCTACGGTGCTGCTGTAAAATTGCTAAAATCATAAACTGTTACTCTTGGTTTTAAATATCAAACCAGGTGAAGGAACTTCTCAATGTCAGAGAAGGGGAAAATCGCTTAAGTAGCAGAATGGACACCATATGGCAGCTCTTTTGGTTTTGTTTTTGAGAGAGTGTGCTGTTTCTTCCCTCTAGATTCCCGTAACCATCTGTCCCCACATAATCCAGCGCTGGGAGAAGTGGGCAGGGACCTAGGATGGCGTTGCTGAAATTAACTTTGTGAAACAAGTCTGTGGACCCTTTATACTAATTTCCAACCTTGCTTCTGACTGATTTGGTTTGGAGAAAGAGATTTCCACCAGGCCATTCTTACCATTATGGGAAAGAAAAGTGACTGTGTATGACTTAATTTTCTTTGGCTGAGCGTCTAGTAACTGTGTAACAGAGAGTGAAGCTGTGGACTGTGAGTGCTTTGGGATATTTTAGAGAGCAGGTAGTGCTGTCCCCCATCCCACAGATTAAGAAACTGAGGCCTGTATTGTCAATACTGATGAAATTGTTGTTTCTCTTATGGTAAACATTATGTAAAAAACTAGAGAGAGAAAGCAATCTGTAATGCCACACTAAGAGGAAACCAGTCTATTTTCTATTCATACACTTTATATATTAATTGACATCTTACTGTATATATCTGTTTTAAAACACTTAAATATATCCTGAATATTTTCTCATGTTATCATTTCTCCATTTAGCCAACAAACCAGTAGACCTGCACACGAATCCATGCACCAGTAGCTCTCTTTGGGGCATGGCCTCTCCACGCCCACCACCCAGAGGCTCTTGGTGGCCCAGAGGCCCAGAGGCCCATCTGCAGCTGAGTGTGGAACACTTGCCTCATTACCATGGCGATGAAAAAAGCATTCTGCCAGACCGCTCACGCTGCCCACCCCTAAGGGGACGGGGGACTCTGGCGGGGCTGAGAGGACTGGGTGCCACCATCTTTGTGATGGAGTAATGGTTAATTTGCATATTACCATTTTATTAGGATAATGAAAACAGGCCGCACTTTGCATGGCTCTTCCTTTGTGCCAGGACTCCTCTATACACGTCACAAATGGCAACTCACTTTATCCTCACAATGAATCTGTGAGGTAGAAGTAGGATTATTACCCCCATTTCACAGAGGAGGACACTGAGACACAGGGGTTACACAACCTGCTGGGTCATCCAATGAGGAAGTAGTGGAGCCAGAATAGGCATCTGTGTGGCTTGATTTCTCTGTCTCCTGGCCTGCAGTAAGCTAACAACCCTTGGTGCTAAATGTGTATGCTGGTGTTTAGAAGGCTGACTCACCCAATGAGTGAGTTTGGGAACAGCCATGATACATGCTTGAGGTGTGACTTATTCACTTAAGGTTCTGTGCCCAGTCGAGCTCGATGCCAGCAAGGATTCTGAACCATAGCGGATCGCCTGCAGGTTTGCAGAGCTTGTAACATAGCAGCTTTACATTTGACCTTGAATGTTGTTGGCTGACTCTCCTTGACCTCCAATTTACAGTCCTTGACTAACTTAGTCTTCTGTGCAGGCACTTGTAAGAGAGGGTGTGATGCCAGTGTGCGTAAGGCCCTGCAGCACTTCTTGATGGCTTTGGGGATTTCTAGCTAGCCAAGTGGACTCAGTGAAAAATGCCACCTTTAGATTCTAATAATGTCTTTAAATCTTTCCATAAGAAAATTTTGTTTTAAGTCAAGGAACAGAGTCTGATTCCAAGTGAATTTTTTATTCCCCAAAGCTCCAAAATATACTTTTCTGATTTTAAGTAAAAACTCTCTTCATTAATTTTTTGAAGGGCATAAAATTAATCCTTTTAATGATGTGGTTTGCTTTTCTAAAGCCCAGAACAACCCATTCTCTAAGGTTTCCATGCACACCTTTTCATCTATTTATTAATGAAGACAGCCCCTAGGAGATGGGGATTGTGCTAGGCAGTAGACATATAAGACCTAATTCCCTGTCCTCATGAAACTAAGAGTCTAGTGAGGAGGACTGATAGACAACAAAGAATTGCACTACAGTGTTCTAACTGCTGAGGAGGCAGGTGAGTGTAAAGGTGGGAATAAGAAAAGACTTCTTGATGGTTTGATGTTATGGAAACATCCAAACCATGACATACTCAACTTGTATTTGCCATGGTTAGGTTTCAAGGCTCTTCTGAACACATTCAGTCTGCGTTTATAGATGTAAGAAAGGAGCTTATTCTTAGCTTTAACAAATCTTTGTCTATTACCTAGTTAAAAGGAAAAGGAGGAAGAGTTGTCATATGTAAAGTTTTAAATGTAATTCTGAGTGTCTTTTGCATTAATAGAGTCAACAGTAACCAGGGAGGCCTTGCAAATCCCAGCTCAATCAGACCTGAGTATGCAATAATAGATGCAATAGTAGACCCTTTAAAAAATAAATAAATAAATAAATAAATAAATAAATAAATAAATAAATTGGAAGGCCATGTCTGTGCAGTGCTGGATGAATAACAGGAGCTTAGAGGTTACTTGTAAGTGGCACCTGTGTCTGAAAGTACCCTGAAAGGCGAGGTAAGAGGTGTGGATTCTAAATCTGGCTTGGTCAGTAGACTCAGCTGTGTCAGAATCCACATTCATCTGTGTCACAGAGATCTGAAAAAATTCGTCATCTTGTGGTCATCGATGACTGGTTACCTTCTGCCTGGTGCCATGTTCTTGATGGGAAGAAGGGAAAGACAAAAGTATAGGCACCAGCTGAGTCAGCTGCTCCCACCTCACTTCTGGCTCATCCCATTGGCCAACCTTTGCCACAAGACCACCTCCAGCTGCAAGGGGGTAGGAAGAAGATTTTTAGTTAAGTACATTATTGCCCCTAGTAAAATCAGAGTTCTGTTACAAAAGGGGAAAAGGGAGACTGGATATTGGGTTGAAATCTAACAGTCTCTTAACTGTAATAAATGAACTAAGTCTGTGGTTAGTTCAGTGTCTTCACAGCTCCAGTTCCAGATCCAGGGAAAAAGTGTGTTTTCTTTGATTAAAGTCAGAGTTGCTGATGCCAAAGTTATTTTCCCTTCCTTTCTCTTTCTTGGTTGACGTCATTCATTTGAATTTTAATTGTGTTCACTTGTTTAGTTTGTATTTAATTTTGGGTTTATTTGTCCTTATTTATTTTACTAATTTATTTACTTATTTATGTCTTTGTTTATCTGGGAAACGCTACTGTTTTTAAAATTCAGAACCATATAGAAAGGAATATTCAAAAACACGTCCCTCATCACCATCCTTCTCCCCAATTCCCACTAGCCCATCATTTATACTTCATTTCTACTCACTCCACTCCCAGAGGCAATCTATCTCCTTAGTTCTTGGTTTAAACCTCCTGTATTGCACCAGTGTGCAGACACATGTGTTTTCTCATTTCCCCCACTTACAAAAGCAGTAAGATGGGAAAAGGTAGTATACTATAGTTCTTCTTTGCACTGAGAATTTATGTAGATGGTTATAAGAAATAACATAATGGTGAGGCTAGATAAGTATATGTTAAGAGAGGGAAGATGAACCAATAGCACAGGAAACCACAACCGGTGAGGAAAGGTCTTATGGAGGAGGCTGCAGTGGAAGTGTCTTAAGAGTGGTAAGAATGGGTTTTTTTTTCTAGAGATTGATAGAGAAGAGGAAGGGAAGAACCAGTAGACTAGTTGGATGGCAGCAAAGGGGGATCAGTTCAGGGCATCAGTTCAGGGAAGCCCTGCAGTGATGATACTAAACAATGTGAATCTTTGGAGAGGAGTGTGATATAGACAGGAAGCAAACCTGAGTGTTGTGTACTTTTCATAGGCTAGGGGGTTCACAGAGAATTTAGTGATCACCTGATAATTCATCTTGAACGGGCACTGAGCACACGTTATAGAGAAGGAAACTGAGACCTAGAGACTTCACCAAAGGCACAGAATCAGACAGTGGCAGAGTTGGAAATAGGCAAGATCTTGACTAAAAGTCCCATGACCTGTGCTTCTCAGACCTGGCAGTGTGTTTGCCGTTTTGTGCTGGAATCTTTCAGTTCATTGAATCCCAAATCATAAAATTCAACCAAAACAACAGCAACCTATATCAGCCTGATATGGGCTCATTTGTGTCCCCGCTCAACATTTATATATTGATGTAAATTTATATATCCTAACCCTTAGTACCTCAGAATATGACTGTGTTCAGAGATAGGGCCTTTAAAGAGGAAATTCAGTTAAATGAGGTCAGTAGGAAGATTTTGACTGCTGTCCTTATAAAAGGAGGAGATTAGGATACAGACATCACAGATAAAGGACTGTATGAAGACACAGTTGGTGGACAGCCATCTGCAAGCCAAGGAGAAAGGCCTCAAAGCAACCAACCCTTGATCCTGGATAGCTTGCCTCCAGAATTGTAAGAAAATAAATTTCTGTTTTTTAAGCTCCAGGCTATGGTGCTTGGTTATACCAGCTGGAGACAACTAAGACACAGCCTAAAGCCACTCTTCTGGGTAACTGATGAGATCTCACCTCCAGCCTGGCGTCTTATCTCCTGTTTGTTGCACCTTTCAACCTTCCTGCATAAGATAGTGCAGGGCCCTATCTTATGTCAACCACCAAGCCTCATTGCTCCAGAGGCAAAACAAGAGTGGAGGGCAGTCTGCCATAGTGCGGAGAAAAGCAGAGGGCAGATCAGGAACCTGATGGGAGCCATTCACTGGCTACAGATTTTTAACCTTCTGGCCTCTAACAGTGTGGTTGAATGAGGCCCTACCAGACCGCTGTACCGATTTTTCGGTAATTTCTGAATCTGCTCTATACCGCTGTTCCTAATTTTCAGTACTTTGCCTAGACCTATATTCTACAATGTCTCCAAGTTCCATCTTATTCTAACCACTTGTTTGCATGTAACTAACATTTTTCTATATCATGTTGATTTTTTCTCTTTAATGCTCAGGAGCCCAGGTACAGGGGACAGTTAGGTTCAGGGCCTCAGGTCTGGTAGGGTTTAAAGCCACTTCCAACCACTGGATTCTTTAAATAATATGGAAAGAAACTATCTGTTGATCTTACTAAATATTTTTTAAAATTACATGTTTTCTAACTTAATTTTCCCCCAAATGCTCTGCCTCACTACAGACTTGAATACATCGGGATAGCAAGATTTTTAAATTAGGTGGTGAGATTACAAGTTGTTTTAATATTTTCTTTATGCCTCCTGGTATTTTCAAAGTGTTTTTTAATGTCCATGATGTTATGGGCAAGGCTGGGGAAGTATGGATCATAAAGGTGAAAAAAATTCCAATCTCTGATAGAGGCAAACAATGTTTGTTTTGTTTTTAAATTAAAAAGATCTTAATTCAAAGGAGTTCCAAAGAAGACAGTACATTTTTTAATGAAAGGATAATGAGAATAGTTGTAGGACAGGGGTAGATAAAGCTCTTAAAGTAATGAACATATAATATTTTTAAGGTTCTTTTGTATGTGGGAAAAACATCTTTCTAACGCAAATGGTAATGAGACAGCACATACAATTTTATAGTAATTGACATATAGTGTGTAGAGCGGATGTAGATCTAAAAATAATGAAGTGTGAAAATGCTAGTTAAAGATGGAAAAAGCTGTCACAGATGTCTATTTAGGATTTGTTATTTGGGTCTTGGCAAAGCGTACGTGATAATAGATAGATTCGCACCATCATGGAGAAGCTGTTGACAATATGACTTGACTTTGATTATACATGGGAAGAAGTGGGTAAAGATGAGAGTGTAATTTAAACTAGGAAAAAAGAACTAGACTCAGAAATTATAGATAAAGCCAAATAGTCTCCTAAGAAAAATGAGAACATTTTTAACCATAGTTTATAGCTTAATTTCCCAAGTAATAAATTTAATAATCAGAATAAAATAATGCACTTCAGAACACTGGGACTATGTAGAGAAGAGAATATTATAATTATTAGCAATAGGTAGCCAAATGTAATCAAATCTTCCCATGTAGAATGCCTTTGATAGTATGGGTTTTTATTGTCATTTCTTCTCTAGACCTTTTTTAAGCACAGGTAAAATACAACAGACACTCTTCACTTGGCAGATGAGATTCTTTTGAGGAGGGCTTTTCCTAGATCACTAAACAAAACACACTGATGGTGAAAATCGACCCACTTCTATGCACATTTCAAAGCGCATGGCCTCCTGGACACAGGCCTGATAACTGAGGCGCACTCTTTGGTATTGGTTACAGGAGTGATCCCTTGTCCTGTGTCCTCTTTTATAGAAACCAGGGTCATTTTGGAAGCATATGGTTTCACCTGAGGAGCACATGTGCCATCAAGATTTGTGTGTATTTGTGTGTGTTTGTAAAAGACATTTTATGTGTGCCTTGAGTGACCTCTCTAAGAATCTCATACAGCTTGTGGGTGTTCAGGCCCAGTCCATGGATTTCCCTTAAATGCAAATCCAGCTGTGTCAGTTCCCTTAACCCCTCCTGCGCCTGCTCAAGGTTAAGCCTTGCAGGCAGCTCTTTAGTAAGTGTCCAGAGGGTAATTACCCAGATGCACCTGGGTGGGGTTTAACCCCCTGCACCCCACCCTCTCTGCCAGAGTCACCAGGGAGATTCAGATGTTCGAGAGGCACAGTTAGTGAAATCACTTCCCTCTCCCGAGGTAACTTGATCTTGTCAAACAGCGCTTTTTACAGAACATATGTGCTTTCGTTTTATTTTAAGGTTCTGAAATAACATTCTCCATTTTGCTTGCTACTGAGGCATATGCACAAAGAAGAAAACCCTCTTTTGGTTACACATGAAGCTTTATTATTATTACTAGCTTTATTATAATGATGTGTGTTATTGTTTGTTTACTTGCTTTGTCAAAAGAAAAGCCACAACATTTCCTAAATCAAAATAAAAGCAAATATTGCACTGTCACTTTATGTGGAGCAAGAGGCTAGAGAGAAAATTTACAAAAGTTGAATTCAGGGAAGACCAAGAGGAAACCAAAATGACTTCCCCAGAAATGAGTGTTCAGCTGCTATTTCTTGGCTTGATTTGGGGGGAAAACTGCTCAGATTATGAACAGCACTTTCTACAACACCCCAGGTGATCCAGGTTTCATTTGTGCTGGAAACGTGGTGAGGTCCCATAGGGGTAGGGCATTCTAGGCGGGAGGTGATTATTACTGCCCAAGACCATGGCCTGTAGCAGCTCATTGGACAGGACTTGGGGATGCCCCTGGAGGCGGAGTCTAACAGGTGAAGGACATAGTCTTTGGTGACGGGCTGTTGGCTGGGTTGTATAGTCTCAGGCAAGTTGTTTAAGCGTCTCAGTCTCCATTGTCCTCACCAAAAATGGTGCCATTGATGTTCACCTCATAAAGTTGTTTTTAAGAAATGAAATGAATCCAACTGTGTCAAGTGTTTAATGCATGCTGGCACATTACACACACTCAATTGATAGCAGTTATTTAATGATTATAGAAGAACTCTGCCATAAACAGGTATCTGACCTTGGCTCAGTCATGCCGTGTACGTGGCTGAGCTTTGGATTTCTTTTCTATAAAATGTGAAATTTTAGGCTGCACTCCTTTTTGTTCTAGAAATTGGTGAGTCTTCAAAGCTCCTCTTAAATCCTGGTAAACTCTAAGAATATTTTCTGTGCTTGGCAGTGAGCAGAGTTGCCCAAGTTCAGGTTAAGTTCTTGCCAGGAGATGACTAGAACTTTGCTTAAGTCTCAGGCAGTTCTCTTCATCCTGGGACCACAGCAGGAGAAGGAAATCTGTTCTTATTGCTCTTCATTCTCATTATGAATCTAAAAACTCTCCCATATCCAAAATCTAAATTCTCCTGCACCTCCAAACTCCCCCGATCTTCCTATTTCAAGATAATATCTATGCATGGTAGTACATTGTTGCTTTCAGGCTATTTTTATTTATATTATGATACTGACTCTTCAGAACAGTGTGTGTGGGGCCTCTATTATGACCTCTCCCCTCTTCCTCCAATTTACAGGCGTGGAAACTGAGGTCTGGATTTGCTGAGATCATGTAGCCAAGAATTGGCAGATATGCGGCTCATACTCAGGTTTTTTGCTACAAAAACAAATGTTTCTCCCAGTGAAACAGGCTCCTTTACAAAGTGCCTGGAGCCTTTTGTTTATAAATGAGGAGAGACAAAGAAAAGGATGAGGTCACAATTGGAACAGGACGCAGAAATGCTGATTTCTTCATGACTCACCATCTTAGGCCTTTGATTCCCAACATCCTTTGCTACAAAGGACTAATTTTTACTTTCATAAATAGTTTAGTATTTTATTATATCAATAACTAATCAATAACTTTCCAGAGCTTTTCCCATATTGATATATGGGTGTGTATGTGAACATGTATTCAACAAAATGTTCACAATCTCATCCACAGGAACAAAAAAAATGGCAGAGGTTGTCCACAGACAGCTGTATGGGACCCAGATTGTTCACCTCCCCAGATTGTTCATTTGCCTGCCTCTCCTCCATGGAGAGCTAGCTGTAGTCACTACCTCCTCATTCCCCAGGGCAAGCCTGCAGCCCCGCCTCCATGGCTCCTGCTACATTGGAGCCCACAGAGTAAGCCTACAGGCCTGACCAACCTATAATAGCACAGAATCCTTGGCTTCTCTCCCCATGCCAGGATTCAGACCAAGCTTTGTGCCTGTGGGTGGGCACTGGCTTCTCCAGGAGCTCTGTATAGAGCAGTGGTTCTCAACCTTTCTGATGGTGCGACCCTTTTATACAGCTCCTCATGTTATGGTGACCCCCAACGCACAGGTTGAGAACCGCTAGCAGGGTCGCCTAAGACCACCGGAAAACACAGATATTTACATTACGAATCATAACAGTAGTAAAATTACAGTTATGAAGTAGCAACAAAAATAATTTTATAGTTGGGGGTCACCACAACATGAGGAACTGTATTAAAGAGTCGTGGCATTAGAAAGGTTGAGAACCACTGGTATAGAGGTTTTGCCGACACAATCCAGTAGGGCAGGAGATTTAGGGCCCAGGGTGAATCTCAGCCAAGGGGAGTCAGGCAGTGGGAGATTGTTCCAAGCTATGGAGGGTTCTATGCATCCTTGTCCTGATGCCCCATCCACCAGCAGTTTCTTGAGAGGTTGAGACAGGTTGGTAACCAATGTGTTACCTTGTATTTGCTTTCACCTCACCTTCCTTTCTTCCTCCTGCTTCCCACCCTGGGAATGCACCTGCCTCCCCACTAAAGCTTTAGCACACACACACACACACACATATATATTTTTTCCCTCAGGTTCTTTCATTTTTTTTTTTTTTTACATGAGGAGACTGAGCTGAGATGATGGTCATTGCATCTATAATATCTCACTTTTCAGTAAGTGCATGTGAAAAAAACAACACACCAGCATTCAGTCATTTTTGGTGAATGTGGATTTTAATAATGACAACAGCATCTGTGTGCATTGGAGAGAAGTATATTGAAGTTGTCTTCAGACAGCACTGGTGATAGGTGGACTAAGGACCCCTTCCAGCCACATTGTCCCCACAAAGATCTAAAAGCTACGGTGGTTGTCGAGGGGAGATCCAGGTTACCACAGCTCTTTTATCCTTCACTTGACCTTGCTGCAGTTCTGAACTCAGACGTAAACCTCAGTCCAACCAGCCTCCTCCTGGTGCTGCCTTTCGAGCGTGTGAAGTCTTGACACCTGTGCACATTTTCCCAGAGCGAGGCACTCTGCACATCTGGGTCAACTTTATTCCAGTTTTCTTTTCTTTCTTCTTTTCTTTAGTCAACCCGTGTGAGTAACTGCTACATGAAACCGTGAAGAAAATGGAATAAATATGTTGGAAATGCTAGAAAGTGATCTGTAGTTGTTTATTCTCCTCAGTGTCACTTCCTGGGCTTATTTTTAAGCATCCAGAGAGCTTTGACAATCTTTAAAAGTACTTGGCATGCTGGAAAAAAAAAAAAAAAAAAGGTCTGTTCTCTAATATGCAAGAACTTTTACACTGTGCTTCTGGTTTGAAAGTGTGTGGGACAGACCCTCTCATGTGTTGATTCAAGTTCTTTTAATAAGACATGTACTCTTTTATAGAACTCTGTGCACTTACTCTACTAAGCAGTGTTCACTCCTTTTTCCCCCCTCTAGGGCAGGGATTGTGTCTTCTACATCTTTGTGTTCTCCAACTGTACTGACATCTAATTGGTACTGCCTGCACTCCCTGAGTGATGAGGTGGAGGGGGAATTTTTCAGTTGGATGAGTAAATTATGGCGAATTGCACAAGATGTCTGTATTTCAAAGAGCACATGCTAGAAACACAATTTAGATATGAACAATTAGCCAACAAGACAGTGTATTTGTTTACACAATGTCTTCTTTTCAGACAGAGCTCCTTGCCTGTGTTCACAGAGAGGACTCTTGGGCTCATTTAGGCAGAAACAGAGAAAAGAGATCAGTGAAGGCAGAAATAGTAAAGGAAGGCTTGTGTTCCAGGGTCTCATGGGGATGGTGGGGGTGAGTCAGTGGGCTATGGATTCAGAATTCTGAGTTCCAGTCTTGCCTCTTGAAATCCGGGCTTAGCCTTTGGGGCCTGTCTCCTCCATGGAGCTTTTCTTGGTCCTCGAATATACAGCTTACCTCCTGTGTCCTCATAGCCCTGTTTGGGACCTTTTTTCTGGCTCTGCTCCTAAATGGCCATTTGTGTTCTTGTCTGATCCCTTCCACTAGATTACTGAATAAGGTCTGGACTCTTTATGATTCGTCCATAGACCCTCCAGAATGTCTAGCATAGTGCCTTCTGCTCAGGCCAATGCACACGTG